TTTACATACCGTCCATGAAAAAGACCTATGGCTCCCAGAAAAAAAATGCACTCAGCATACTAGTGTTTAATTATCATAAACTATAGTTTTTGTCTCCTGTATGGAAATTTTAATATCATTGCAGACAAATTAATTAAAATATTTTGTTAAAGGTCCACAAAAGCAATTTTACCCAAAGATGTTGTTATTTAAAACCACTAAAATAAACACGCCCATAAACCAACAGGCCTTGTCCCTTTTGATATCTGCACGACAGTAGTTAGACACGCCTCATGCTGCTGATTGGCTGCAAGTGTGTTTTGGGTATTGAAAGCTTTTTTTTCCGCTAGTCCGTAAATATACAAAAAAAAAATTCATTGTATTTATCCAATTTATGATTAGTTTTGTTTTTATTAGTAGTGATATGGTGATATTGATTGATTTAAATGAGAAATGGTGACATCATCAACAATCTTTGTGCATATTAATGGCATTTTAATACTCAAGTGGCATTTTTCTTTAATAGTCAAGCTTGTCTATGTTCTCTGGTTTCAGCCGTACTATGCCGGTCGGCCCACTTTACCCACCAATTCTGGGCGTGTCCAGACAAGCTCCGCCCCTCAGCCCATTCCCCCTCCACATGCAGCCCGCCCCCCTCACGTGTTCCAGCCTGGCCCCTCCCAGATGATGATGATTCCCCAGCAGCCAATCAGCTTCCCCAACTCACAAGGCGCGGCTTATTATATATCTGGCCAGGTAAGACACCTACACTCAAAACACTGGAGAGTTGCTGTGTGCGGAGATTGTGCACTTTATAGTTTGGTTGTTCTGTTAAATGCTGATTTTTAAGAGAATTTTGTCCGACACAAATCCCACAATGCAGCTCTTTATTAATACATTTTTTTTATTATGAGTTGTCAAAAACTATTTAATTATATTAAATTATAATTATTGGATAATACTTACTCCCAGGGCTAATTATATCGAAGTTGATATTTAACTGCACCAAATTAGTGTTTTATAGCATCTAGCTTTTTGTTTTGTTTTGTTTTTGTTATTGTGAAGTGGGTGAACCCAATGCTCAACCCTCTATCTGCATTACCAGGACATACAGTGCATCCTGAAAGTAATGATAGCGCTTCCTTTTTTCCACATTTGTTTATGTTACAGCCTTATTCCAAAATGGATTAACTTCATTGATTTCCTCAACATTCTACACACTACTCCATAATGACAATGTGGAAAAAGAGTTTCTGAAATTGTTGCAAATTTATTAAAATAAAAAGCTGATAAATCAGATGTACATCAGTATTCACTGCCTTTGCTCAATACTTCATTGATGCACCTTTGGCAGTGATTACAGCCTCAAGTCTTTCTGAATATGATGCACAAGCTCTGCACACCAGTCTTTGGGAATTTCTGCCCATTCCTCTTTGCAGCACCTCTCAAGCTCTATCAGGTTGGATGATAAGTGACGGTGTTCAGCCATTTTCAGATCTCTCCAGAGATGTTCTATGGGATTCAGGTCTGGGCTCTGGCTGGGCCACTCAAAGGCATTAATCGAGTTGTTGTGAAGCCACTCCATTGATATTTTGGCGGTGTGCTTTGGCTCATTGTCCTGTTGGAAGATGAACCGTCTCACCAGTCTGAGGTCAAGAGCACTCTTGTGCAGGTCTTCATTCAGGTTGTCTCTGTACATTGCTGCATTCATCTTTCCCTCTATCCTGACTAGTCTTCCAGCTCCTGCTGCTGAAACACACCCCCACAGCATGATGCTGCCACCACCATGCTTCACTGTAGGAATGTTGTTAGCCTGATGATGAGCGCTGCCTGCTTTCCTCCAGACGTAACGCCTGGCATTCACTCCATAGAGTTCAATTTGAGTCTCATCAGAGCAGAGAGTTTAGTTTCTTATGGTCTGAGTGTCCTTCAGATGCCTTTTGGCTAATTCCAGGCGGGGAGTGTCTTCCGTCTGGCCACTCCACCATACAGGCCTGATTGGTGGATTGCTGCACAGATGGTTGTCCTTCTGTAAGCTTCTCCTCTCTCCACAGGGTTATTGATCACCTCCCTGGCTATAGCCCTTCTCCCCCGATCACTCAGCTTAGATGGCCGGCCAGCTCTAGGAAGAGTCCTGATGGTTAAACATCTTCCACTTACGGATGATGGCGTCCGCTGTGCTCATTGGGACTTTCAGGGCAGCAGAAATGTTTCTGTAAGCTTCACCAGCCTTTTGCCTAGAGACGATCCTGTCTCGTAGGTCTACAGACAATCCCTTTGTCTTCATGCTTGGTTTGTGCTTTGACATGCACTGTCAACCCAGGGCCCTTTTATAGACAGGTGTAGCCTTTTCCAATCATGTCCAATCAACTGAATTGACCACAGGTGAACTCCAATGAAGCTGAATCATCTCAAGAATGATCAGTGGAGACAGAATGAACCTGAGCTCAATGTAGAGCTTCACACCAAAGGCAGTGAATACTGATGTACATGTTATCTTACAGCTTTTTTATTATAAATAAATCTGCAACAATTTCAAAAACTCCTTTTCCACATTGTCATTATGGGGGATTGTGTGTAGAATGTTGAGGAAATCAATACATTGTCATTATGGGGGATTGTGTGTAGAATGTTGAGGAAATCAATGAGTTTAATCAATTTTGGAAGAAGGCTGTAACATAAACAAATGTGGAAAAAGTCAAGCGCTATCAACACTTTTCGGATGCACTGTGTGTATGTATATGTGTATGTATATGTATATGTATACCTACACATGCATTTCTTTGAGGAACAATTTTTTTCTTTTTTTAAAGTTTTAGTAAACCACAATACATGTCACACACACACACACACACACACACACACACACACACACACACACACACAGTCTTGGGTGTATTGATTGTGCTGACCGCTCCTGCTGTTTTTAAGCTCTGTGCCTCTGTGTCAGCTGAGCATCTCTACCATTCCCAATTGTGCACCTTTAAAAAAAGACGGCAGGATTGTTGCGCGGAGGGTAAAATGCTCTGAAATGGGGATTGTGTATGAGTGTGTGTGTGTGTGTGTTTGTGATGAATCTGCTGTTTCTCACACAGTACCGTCCTTCATACGTGACCCCGCAGCAGTATCAAGTGGCCAGCTCCACCGCTTTCTACCCCGGCACCAGCCCGGCTGATTATGGTACGTACATTGTGTGTGTGTGTGCGTATGTGTCTGTGTGTTTGGTAAATCTATGAATCCAGAGCTTTTGTCTCTCTCTCTTTGTGTGTGTGTGTGTGTGTGTGTGAGAGAGAGTTTATTAAATCCGTGAATCTACAGCTTCTCTCTCTCTTATCTACAGCTCTCTCTTATCTACAGCTTCTCTCTCTCTCTCTCTCTCTCTCTCTCTCTCTCTCTCTCTGTTTGTGTGGGAGAGAGTTTGGTAAATCCATGGGTCCAGAGGGTCTGTGTTTGTATGCGCTTTCCAACTTGTGTTAAACTATGTTTTAGTCTCATTTAGTGGAAATGATCACTATGAGCCTTTGTTTTAATGTTTCTTTATTTATTTATTGAAATGAACAGGTTATTTTGGTGTTGATTTGGTTTCACAAGAGACGAAAATCTGAGAGATAAAAATAAAAATGTCATCAGTGTTTGCTGTGGATGGAGACTGTCAGATTTCAAAGTCTCATGGTTTCGATGTCATGACAGTGAACATATTTGCATAAATCTGCCCACATTTACATTTATTTCCTTTATTTATTTATTTATTTATTTATTTGTCTTTTTTCAAAAAATCTATTTAAAATAATTAAAAATTAGGGGAAAAGGGAAAAGAAAAGAGGTTATTTTTATCTCTTTATTCCCATCCTATAGGTGGCGCTCTCAGAAATATCAGTCTCTGTTTTGGTGTTTCTGTATGAGATTGGTTTGACTGTTGACTAAAGTGACTGTGCAGACCATCAGTGTTAACACACACTCTGCTAGCGAAGCTTTGCGTCTGTCAGAAGCTCGGTGTTATTTTTATCAAACCCCCACCAACACACATTCAGTTTTCAGCAGCTCAGATCACACACACACACACACACACACACACTTGCTTGTCCTGTCCAGCTCATGACACCTGGAGGACTCACTGACCTGCGACACAAACACACTTGCCCTGTCCAGCTCACAAGACCTAGAGGCCTCACTGACCTGGGACAACACACACACACACACAAACAAACACTACCTGACAAAAGTCTTGTCGCCTATCCAAGTTTTAGGATCAACAAATATTAAGTTGTCTTTTAGTTGATGATTTGGTATCAGAAGTGTCTTATGTGAAAGGTAAAGGCCTCTAGATTTTGCTTATTTGAGCACAATAAAATCTGATCATGTCTTGATTATTAATGATTTGATTAGGACAGTAAGGTCTGACTCTGCTTAGACTAAAGTCTCATCACTGAACAGAAATAATGTCCAGTATAGAATATAAAGTCCTGCTGCAGTGGAGACAGAATGAATATTGTGTCTGACTCCATCATGAGCTTGGAGGACTGCATCCATACATCTCTGCACTGACTCAAATCCCTGATTAATAAAGTCATCTGGAATGGCAGAGAAAGCGTTCCTGCAGGACTCCCAGAGTTAATCAAGACTCTTTGTGTTCATCTTCAACACCTCCTCCTTCATCTTACCCCAGACATGCTCAATAATGTTCATTTCTGGTGACTGGGCTGGCCAATCCTGGAGCAGCTTGACCTTCTTTGCTTTCAGGAGCTTTGATGTGGAGGCTGAAGTATGAGGAGCGCTATCCTGCTGGAGAATTGTCCCTCTCCTGTGGTTTGTAATGTAATGGGCAGCACAAATGTCTTGATACCTCAGGCTGTTGATGTTGATCATCCACTCTGCAGATCTCTCGCATGCCCCCATACTGAATGTAACCCCAAACCATGATTTCTCCCTCACCAAACTTGACTGAAATCTGTGAGAATCTTGTCTCCGTGCTGGTTCCAGTAGGTCTTCTGCAGTATTTGTGATGTGACACCTATGAAATAAAATTCTCATTGGAATAGTTTTGACCTCAGCTGCATATGAATAGACGTATGGATGTTAAATATTGTCATTTAGAAAATGTCTGACCCATGAAAGTTTTATTTTGTGTGTGCGCATGTGTTTTTCCTCCAGCCGGAGCTTATTATCCTGCTCAGGCCCAGTTTACACCCTCTGTTGCTGCACCGCAAGTGATCATGAACCCCGCCCCCCAACAGCAGCAGGCCCCGCCTCCTCCTCCTCAGCAAGCTCCGCCCAGACGCGAACGCAAACAGGTCAGACTCAACTATCAGTATCTGTGTTTAACACTGCATTATTCACACACTTTTAAAAAGGCTTTTTCTATATCTGTGGTTTGGCATTCATCCATACTAAAGACGCTTTTCCAAGTGGATTAATCTGAAACACATGATTATGATGATGATGATTAGTCATGTGATTCATTTGTACCCATTATGACGCAGTTATAATTAGCCTGTAATTAATGTTACAGCAAAAGCTCCACTTTTTTGGCGTTTTACAGCTCCCTTGTAGTTCAACAGGTGACTTTTTTTAAATGCACAGTTAGCTTAGCTTAGCAAAACTCATTGAATCGGATTAGACCATTAGCATCTCGCTCTAAAATGGCAACATTTTTGACATTATTTTATTTAAATATCATCATCTTCAGCAGCTCATACACGTTAATGGACAGGCTGCTTCTCAGTCAGGGCTGTTTATGCTAATAAGGGAGAGATGGTCAAAAGTGGGTGGGGCTTTTCCCCCTTCTGATGACTCGTACAACGCCCTTTAAATAGGTAAATGATCCAAAAATGATCATTATTCAAGATGCTAATGGTCTCATTCAGATTCAATGATCTGCAAAATGATTGACAGTTCACGTAACTAAGCAACAGAATGGTCTGTTAATGAGGTAGTAGTGTCCCAAAGCTTACACACTCTTCTCTTACACACTTAAAAGTATGTTCAAGTTCATATGTTTAGTGCGTAATATGGGTTGGTGTTTTTGTCAAGCAGCAGTTTGTTTTTAGGATGCTGTTGAGGTGATGTTTTTAAAAGCCAAATATATTGTTTGATCTGACTCATCAAAGACAGAACCTCAGAATTAGAACTTTGGTTGCCGTGATACAGGTTTCATTTCCATGGTAACAGCATAGAATCTAACCGACAGGTTCCATATGTTCCCATTCATTATCTCCATAGGTGAATATTTGTTTAATGGCAGTAGGTCTGTCATGAGCTGGAGAGATTTGAACCCTTGTTGAAATCAAATCATCAGTCTCTGCTTCTTTTTATACTTAGTTTTTAAGGAATTAAATGTAACCATGTCTTTTACCCTTTAAAAAAAAAAAAGATGCTTTATGTATATGTTTATATATATAACGTTACCCTAACAGGCCACTTTATTAGGTACACCTTGCTAGTATTGGGTTTGACTCCATATTGACTTTTGGATTTTTTGGATTTTGCTCTATATTGGCATGATATCATCACACAGTTGCTGCAGATTTGTCGGCTGCACATCCATGATGCCAATCTCCCGCTCCACCACATCGCGAAGCTGCTCAGTCTGAGATGATTCACGGTTTATGACATGGAGCTTTATCCTGCTGGAAGGAGCCATCAGAAGTTGGGCTGTGTGATTAATCAAATTGCAGTCGCAATTTGAAACGTTGCAATTAGTTAAACACATTAGGCTATAATATATATATATACATCACAGACACCTAACAAAAATAGGTTATTTTTAAGAGCTGTCACAGAATTGTTGCCACAGCTTACAGATTATTGAGCATTTGAGATATTGGTAATCCCAATATCTGTCAAAAAAAATCTCAATTAGATATTTTCCCCAAATTACACAGCCCTAATTAGAAGATGGAGACACTGTGGTCATAAAGAGATGGACATGGTCAGCAACAATACTCCGGTAGGCTGTGGCGTTGACACAATGCTCAATTGGTACTAATGGAGCCAAAGTGTGCCAAGAAAATCTCCCCCACACCATTACACCACCACCACCAGCCTGAACCGCTGATATAAGGCAGGATGAATTCATGCTTTCATGATGTTGAGGCCAAA